TGAGTGAGTCTTCGCTCTGCCTTCACCCAGGCTGGAGCTGTTATGTTTTGGTCTTGTGATCTCTGCTCACTGCCAGAGCTCCGGTGGCCAGGCCAGTGGCCTCCCGGTGGAACCCAGGTTTACGCCATTGCTCCCATGGCCTTCAGCTCCCGGGAGTAGCTGAGGCCCCTGGGATCACACTGGTGCGCTTGCCCATCGCAGATCTCCGGCCTGGCTGGGCTAGTTTTTTGTTAACCTTTTTTTAGTAAGAGACGGGGTTCATCGTGTTGAGCCAGGGGATGGTTCTCAGATCTCCTGACCTCGTGATTCCGCCCGTCGTCGGCCCTCCCCAACAGGGCTGGGATTACAGGCTTTGAAGCCACCGCAGCGTCGGGGCCGATTTTAAAAGGTACCAGTGGCCTTCCCCAATCTACACCAACCCTCCGATTGGATTCTCCTAATCCTCTGAAATCATGCTTATTCCAATTACGGAAACTTACCTTTTCTTTGCTCAAATTTTCATTCCGCGTTTAAAGGAAGGAAAGAGTTGCTATACATGACTATCTCTCATCAATTGTTATTCTTCATCCTTGCCTGTTATCTCTTTTTCTCATGCGTTTTCCTTTTTCCTTGCAATATATCCTCCTCCTAATCTCCACTCCTATCTTTCTCATCCCAATCCTATCTAACACAAAGATAAAAGGCACGCGGAAGAACAAGGGTTGGGGGGGGATAAGGCCATAGACTTTTGTCAGAAGAATAAATCCTGTGGGAAAGGAAATTTCTGAAAGCGTCTAGATCGGTTAATATGGAGACGAGATTTAGAAGGAATCGCCAAAATTCCGCCCAGATGGCGTGGGGAAACAGCAGAAAATAGGTGGTGGCGGGAAGAGGAAGATCAATGTAGTGTAATATTCAGGATAGTCCAGCAATAGGCTGCGATTCACGTATTTCCCAGCTCTTGCAGGTCTATTATCTCATTGACCTTCAAATAACCCTTTGAAGGGAAGTGGAATAACTAGTTCTACCCCCTGATTAAAACACAAAGAGATGAAGTAACTCGCTCATGCTGACTGGTGACAAACCAGAAAACAAGTCTTCTGACTCTCAGATTCAATTTTCTTTCCATCCTCTTTTTGCCTCCCCTATTTTGGTCAACCGTGACCCTCTGAAAGTTGTGCCTTTGCCTCAGCTCCCATTAGCTTAGTTTTCTGAAAACTTGGGTGCTCTTGGAAGGATGGCTGCCTTATTCTGAACAGAGGTTACAGATCACTATGATTTTAGGCAAATATTTCTCAGGAAATGAAGGAAGATGACTTCAAAAAATAATGATTAACAAAATTCAAATGCAGTCAAAAATATGATACATGCATGTGCCACTAGAGTGTGGTAACAAAGTGACCTTGAAAGTTCTGATAAGAATTGTGTTCCAAAGCATTGCCATGTGTCACTATTGCTACATAGTTTGCCAATGCAAATGGCCTGTGGGCTGTGGTCCGTACAGGACGTTCGTTTTTAAATGCCTTTTCTGTAAGACGTAAACCTTTTTTGTTAGTTATATCTTCCTGGAGCTTTTATCAGTGGTAATTGCTCAGATATAATTAAATCTTTATAAAACAAAGCTGACAGATGTTTGATGTCATTTTCCCCCTAGCTGTAATTCTTTAAAATATACTTAGATTCAAGCTGCAATAAGCTGACATTGTTTCTCCAGGCCACCTCTCATTGGGTAAATCTAGTCTAACTTGTGTATACTGCATTCTTCTTTTCTGAAAGAGGTTACTCTTTCAGTAGATAAATTTCAGCTTTTGAGGCAGTGGGAACTCAAGATTCTCCCTGACATTTCTATTGGAAAGACGGTAGGGCTTGTTTTTTTTAGTGGAGGTTAGTGAACGGGGAACTTCAGTCTTTTTTTCTTAGAGTACTGGAATCTTTTCAGTCAACCTTGAAGCAGGTTTCTGCCACCTTTGTGTTTTAATCCCCTCCTGCCCGAAAGGGATGTTCTAAAGTAATGTAGATTTGTTCTAGTTGATGGGGGGAGGGGAGAGAGCCACTTCAAGTAAATCTTGGGAAGAGGCAAATTATTTAGGATATTCAGCTTTGTAATGAAAAAAAAAAAACAGTTCAGAGGTATAGTTTTTCTTCTTTTTAAATGGTGTAGTATTGAGTGACTTTGACCTAATTTTCAATTAAGTTTAATTTTAAAAAGGTAACCACAATTTTAACATCTAAGCGTGTTATATTCAGAAAACAAGCAAGCCTAAATACTCTGTTTCGGCATTAGTCATTGTTTTATTTATTTATTTATTTTTTATTTCTTCCATGGACTAGTGTACAGTTGTAGGTAATTGTTTTTTGATGACATGACATCTGCGCCCTAGTTAGATCCCTGTATTTCTTCATAGGCAGCTGAGAAATATAGTCTCTAAATAAGAATTGTTTCAAGGTCTATTTAGTCCATCATCTAGTCTGGAACTTATTAAATTTAACGTTCTTTCTGGGACATAGCCATATTTTCACAGTTTTGAATCACTGCATTGACACTTGGGCTCATGAGATGCCATGAAAGGCAACATATGTTTGGAATTTCTTGCTGTGGCCCCAAGGTTGCAATGAAACCCTATAGTATGATACACAGGAAATTCAGCTCCCCAGATGTACTGGTCTACTCTTCCTTTCAGGATTGTTCTGGATCTAAGAATAGCATTTCAAAAGGAAATTTGTTTATTTTAACAGACATTTTTAAAAAATAATGAAGTCACTTACTCACCAGAAACAAAGACCAGAAACCAGTTTACAAAGCCAGTGCCCAAGAATTTAGGGAGTTGATTCTGATGTAAGAAGACAATGGATAAAGTATTTTTCAGAAGTCAGTACAAATTTGCAGCAAATCTACCAAAAACAATTAATAAGAGAAAAACTATCAGTGATGGATTTATCTTCACATGGAGCATGTACTGGTTCAAATCAGTGAAAAACTACATAGTTATTGGATTCAAAAACTTGTATTTAGACCTGGTCATCTATTCTCTTAATTAAATGAAATGAAGTTTATGGAGATTCACTTACAAGTCATGTGTTGCTTAATGACAGGGAAACATTCTGAGAAATGCATTGTTAGGTGATTTCCTCATTGTGCAAACATCATACAGTATACTTACGTAAACCTAGATGGTAGCACCTATTACACATCTAGGCTATATGGTATAGCTTATTGCTCCTAGGTTATAAACTTGTACAGCATGTTTCTGTACTGAATTATGTAGGCAACTGTAACAGAATGGAAAGTATTTATGTATCTAAACATGGAAAAAATACAGTAAACATACAGCATTGTTATCATATATGTGGGCCACTAGGTGATGCATGACTGTAATATCCAATATTTCATTTATTAGATAGTTATCTCAAACATTTAGTATCTAGTAAATGAACTTATTTTATATTATTATCTAGGAGACTTATTTGAAAATTACTGCAGAAATGATGACCTGGTAACATTTGGAAGATTTTGTTATGGTGTCACTGTCATTTTGACATACCCTATGGAATGCTTTGTGACAAGAGAGGTAAGCACAGTTCCTTCCCAACGCTTTACCCAGGTGATCTCTCTGCCACATTTAATTTAGGAAGATTTATAAATAATACAGTTTGGCAAATTCCCAAGGGCATGACAAATGGTATAATTCATAAAATTTTCTTTTTTGACTGTAAAATGTAGTCATTTATGTAGTTTAAAGATGAATTTATATTCAGATGTTTACAAGACAGTTTTTCAAACGTTGGGTTTGAAAATTAGGTTTGGTGGATTTGGCATATATTACCATGAGCACAGATATTTATACAACTGCATTCCAAAGTGACTGCCAACCTTTAGCAACAGCCAAACTAAAGTTGCTGCTTTTAAGGCATTCTTACAAAGAAATTAAGTACCAATGTTTAAAACATGTTTTACAAAACTGTCTTTTTGATTAGATGTTTTATCAGTCAACATGTATTAAAGGCACTGTAGAATCTACAGATTCTAACTGGTTTTGTTTTTTTGGTTTTTTTTTTTTTTGGTTTTTTTTTTTGAGACGGAGTCTCGCTCTGTCACCCAGGCTGGAGTGCAGTGGCCGGATCTCAGCTCACTGCAAGCTCCGCCTCCCGGGTTCCCGCCATTCTCCTGCCTCAGCCTCCCGAGTAGCTGGGACTACAGGCGCCCGCCACCTCGCCCGGCTAGTTTTTTGTATTTTTTAGTAGAGACGGGGTTTCACCGTGTTAGCCAGGATGGTCTCGATCTCCTGACCTTGTGATCCGCCCGTCTCGGCCTCCCAAAGTGCTGGGATTACAGGCTTGAGCCACCGCGCCCGGCCGGTTTTGTTATTTTTTAAAAACTAAAATATCTTATATTCCATAGAGAACCAAAGTTCAACTGAAACTTTTAGTTTTACAGATATATTTTATTTATGTATTTATACATGTAGATGTATATATTTACAACTATACATAACATAAAATAATAATATAAATAACATAAATATATAGGATGTTATTTACATATACATATATTGTCAAAGTCAGCTCTAAATTGTGTTATATATTCCACTTGGATTTGTAGAGAAATATTTTCTGAAAGAGAATTCATTATTTGGTGTAAATTAGATAACATGGCCGTCAGGAATCCCTTATGCTGTCAGCTGAAAATCCACTCTACCAGTGAGCAGTAAAACGTGATCTGGCTTCACAGTGGATCTTTCAGGGACCACACTGAAAAGGGCTCAGATCTAGGATCTGTTCTTAGAGGCTGTTTACACAGTGCACCATGTGAAAGGGTCTAATGAGAGAAGTGAAATATCTACAGAGCTTTAAATACACTAAGTAATCAGCAGGCTTCTTGAGGCAAGCCAGGGCTTACTTTAAGTCAGTCCCAGTGATAAGGAACTGACCGCACAGGGAAGCAGAAGAGGGAAATGTTCAGCACTGTGTATGTCCTTTACAGCTAGTACTTCTCTCCCTCACACATGTACAACTCACAGGCCAGTTCTCTACCTTGACTATGAAGGAGAAATAGACTGAACTAATTTTTTTTTAAATTTAAGAGCCTTTTGAAACTTTACTAGCTGTTGTTAGTTTCAGGAAATGGTATTATTTTAGCTTCTGCCCAGTACGTAGGTTCAAATCTGATCTCTAGATCAACAAGTAAGAACAGATGGTGCATTCTCACATGGTTGCTGGTAAACTCCCTACAGACGGGCTGAGTCACTTCACCTGCACAACTTCTGTCTTTAGTACTTGAAACTTGAGTTTCCTTTCCAGCTGCAGTGGCAGGAAGACAGAACTGAATCAAGATCTCTGCCACAGTAGCAAAGACTCAGCAGAGGAATGGTGTCTATAACTTTCCCTTCTCTTGCTCTTTATTCTACATGCATACACGCATACACACGTACACACACAAATGTACGACTGACAAAAATATAATCAAACTGTTTCAATTCATAAAAGCACTAAAAAGGCTGTCTACCCTTAATAAATATCTCTTACTAGCTGCCTCACTAAGGGATTTTTTCACTCTCACAAGGATATCATAGAGGCATCTGTAAGAACGGATCTTAAATAAGATACTATTTGGAGAGACATTACAACTTATATTATTAATATCACCATTAAGTTATTAACAAAGTCATGGTGGTATGTGACACGTGGGAGATGTTGCATATCCAGGCAGCACTGCTTAGAGAGATGGCTTCTTTATGATACCTCAGCATCTGAACTTCTGTCATTTCCAACTCTTGTCTCACTGTTCTTTTGCACAGGGTCACTACTTATTCAGACTATCTTCTCTTTATCCTCCATAGGTATTGTTCCTGTTCTTACTTCTTTGCTCTTTTTCATGCTCTTGTCTCAGCCTGTAATTCTGCTCCAAATCCTGTGCATGTTTCAAGCCCTACCTCAAGCCAAGGTAGGTCAAGCATATTTCAGGGATGCTGTAAAGGAGATTACTCTAAGGAGACAGCTCTAGATACCTAAAGCTCCTTCTAGTCCTAAATCCTCTTTGATCTTTTTTGTCCTGTTATAAATTGATCTCTACTTGCTTTTTTAAGTTTGGTTGTATGCCTCCAAGAATTAATTCCTGAGAATAGGAATCATTTCCCTGACATTTTATCTTTGCAAACCATATCACAGTATGGGACACATTAAGTCGGTAATGTTTTATTGCTTTCCTGATCTGAGTAGTCATGAAAAATGGTGATGAACTCTTTCCCATTTTTGTTGAGGAAAGGCAAGATAAAATAGACTTAAATTGTAACAAATAGGAATTAGTTTATACAGAATTAATTTCCTGTTAGTAAAGGATATTACACATCCAGTATTAATAAGGGAAATGTGACAGCTATTTCTTAGAAGCCCTGCAAATAATCTAAATAGCATGTTTAGTTTGTTTAAGTAGTAACCTGTTGGACTCAAGAAAGAAGGATAAGATAACTTTCCAAAGTCTCTCTTATACTTGAAAGATACATGTACTGAAACATCGGTATGCCACACTATAGGTCTGTAATGTAATCCACTGACTGATAGTTCAACAAAGAGTACTTGTTATTGATATGTGTGTCTATATGTAAGTACTTTGGAAAAGATAGAACATTCCTAGTGACTTGAGATTTGATTAATAGCCTTGTTGGTGGTATTTTATACATTCCTAAAGACCATTGCGAAATACTCCCTCTACAAATCCTGCATGCCTTTAAAAGTCCCTCTCAAAATAATCTGTTTATTTGGCAGGTAATTGCCAATGTGTTTTTTGGTGGGAATCTTTCGTCGGTTTTCCACATTGTTGTAACAGTGATGGTCATCACTGTAGCCACGCTTGTGTCATTGCTGATTGATTGCCTTGGGATAGTTTTAGAACTCAATGTGAGTACATTCTAAGATTTACCCCTTCACTCTAAAATTCTCTGTAAAAGATAATGATTACATTTAACATAAGATTTATTTTCCTTAACAAAAGTATCACTTTTGAAGTGGAATGAAAATATGTTTATAATAGTAAATATTTTCAATGATGATTCTGTGCACTTTATGGAACTATATAGTTTTAAAGCAGTGGTTGTTTAGAGACCTATGAGGTTGTCACAACTGGGTAGGCAGTGCTATTGGCGTCGAGTGGGCAGAGGACAGGGATATACATCCCACAATGTGCAGGCCTCTTACAGCAAAGAATGATCTGATCCAAAATGTCAATAGTGCTGAGATTGAGAAACCCTGGTTTAGAGTTTATCTTTTGTATATCTCATTTACTACAACACATAAATATTACTAAAAATAGCTATAAATTAAGGGACTATGGACTTTGCTGAAAAATAATATATCTAGTGAAATTTATGAAAAATATGAAAGGATTCAAGTTATATCCATTCACTTGCTATGACACAATTTCTTTTTATTTACATATTTTTCTCTCTCCAGACCTTTCTTTTATAGTCTGCACTGCCATCATCCAAATAGAAGTCCTCATAATATCACAGTTGAATTAATCCCAGCTCTGTTTCAACTATCATATATTTAAGTTCTGCTTTCAGTTTACCGGCATTTTCCTACCAGAGCAAGTATAAATTCTGTTGCTTCTACAATCTTGTCTTCTATGTAAAACTGTTTCCCATTTACTTCCCAAAAATCTATGCTCAGCTCTAGTCAGTCTTATTTTTTGGCCTGTGAAAAAACCGTATCAATTCTTTCCATTATTCTTAGTCTTATCTGCTTTTTATTTCCTATAACAATTATTTTTCTTTCATTTTTGTCTACATTTTACAAAGACTTTAAGATCCAGTGCAACTTCTAATTCCTTTATTCACTGATCAAGTATTTATTAATTACTATGTGCCACACAATAGAATATAAGGATGAATGTGATAAGAAAGGATCTATGCATTCTCACAAATAAACATAAAAGTTCAACTGCAATATAGGTGATGAAGACAGAGGAGGCTGGGAATGGTGGCTCACACTGTAATCTGAGCATTTTTGGAGGCCAAGGTGGATGGATTGCCTGAGCCCAGGAGTTGGAGATCAGCCTGGGCAACATAGTGAAACCCCGTCTCTACAAAAAATTAGCTGTGTTTGGTGGCACGTGCCTGTAGTCTCAGCTACTCGAGAGGCTGAGATGAGAGGATTGCTTGAGCCCAGGAGGTAGAGGTTTCAGTGGGCTGCAATGGCACCACTGCACTTCAGCCTGGGCAACAGAGTGAGACCCTGTCTCAAAAAAAAAAAAAAAAGAAAAAGAAGAAGAAGACAGAGGGAAGTGAATGGATTCCCAAAACACATTTTTGAGAAAAGATTGGCACAATTTGGTGACACAGATTCCATTGGGAAGACGGGAGCAGAATGACATCTTGGTTTTATTTTGTGGAACTAGAATAATTTTACCATTTGCTAAGATAGGAATGGAAGTTGTTCTACCACTACAAAGTGGCTAATCTTCTCAATCCTTACAGAATTTCTCATCGGAATCACCCACCGGTTAGCATTTATTGGTCATGCACCACATGGAGGGCAAACCCGTACAGATGGGATCCCAAGTCATCGTTTACTCATTTCATTGAGAATTGAGGCATAGGTGAAGGTGTTAGTGTCAATGCTCAAGTTACTATATCATCCAGATACCATTTTAATTTGAAATTCCATACAAAGGCAGGAGGGAATTCATTCAGGGACCCTACTGGGGACTTTCTTGTAAATGGAAAGTGAGGAGTAAGCAGTTTCCAAAACCTCAGGAGACTGGTAATTATCTATTCTACCAACAGTGGAAGGAAAGCTCATAGGAAAGTAAGCAAGTGTCAAAGGTAACTTTTACCTTCTTCCCAATTTTGCATAGGCCAAAGACTAGATCTTTAGATGTTTTTAAAACCTGATTATATAGACATACGTTAAAAATTAGAGTGCCAAATTGTTATGACCTGATAGCCCAAGACAATTACACTAGTTTTAAAGCACTTTGTAAGAATTAATAAACTCTAGGATCTCTATTCTCAGACCACCTGAGAATAAGTGTTTTCCACATCAGTACATCTTTTGGTGTGCATAAGAACGTATTCACATCTTTACTCAACTCTTTTTTGTGTGGATACTTACCATGTCTAATAGAGCCAAATCAAGCGTCATGTCTGTTAGTAACTAATACATGCTGGATCATGCAACACTTTAGAAATAACTTAAAGCATGCTGTGCTCCACTTCATAATAATAATGTGGACAGGGCGCAGTGGCTCATGCCTGTAATCCTAGCACTTTGAGAAGCTGAGGCAGGTGGATCACCTGAGGTCAGGAGTTCAAGACCTGCCTGGTCAACATGGTGAAATCCTGTCTCTACTAAAAAATACACACACACACAAAAAAAAAAATTAGCTGGGTGTGGTGGCACATGCCTCTAGTCCCAGCCACTTGGGAGACTGAGAGAGGAGAATTGCTTGAACCCAGGAGGCAGAGGTTGCAGTGAGCCAAGATTGCGCCACTGCACTCCAGCCTGGGTAACAGAGCAATACTCCATCTTAAAAAATAAAAAGTGAATAATAATAATAATAATAATGTGAGCTACCATGTATTGAGTACTTACTCTGTACCAGGTGCTGTACAGTATCATCTCCTTTTATCTATATTAAATTGACAGATGAAGAAACTAAGGCACTGCATGATTAAATAGTCTGAGGTCATACTAGTTACAAGTAAAAAAATTCAGATTTGAGCACAGGCATTTGGACCCTAAAGCTCACATTTTAAACCATTACACTACTCTGAGATTTTCTAAGCATAAGATTTTTAATTGTGTAAAATGATTATGCTCATTTCTCTATCCACTTTCTAAAATTATAATATCTATGCATTGAGTTTATCTATAAGAAAGGGTAAGAATAATCTATGATACATATGGATAAACTTTAATAATGGGTTAAAACGTACCAGGAGATGAAATAAAATGAAACTAAAAGGTTTTTGTCTTAATAATTTTTAGATTAATAACTTTCATCTTAGTAATTGTAGGACTTTAGAAATGTAGTTAATAGCTTTTATCTTAGATAACAATTTTAGTATTTTAGGAATTCTTTTTTATTTTGGCTTCTGAATAAGTAGAATAATGAGCTTCACAGATGAGATGGATCAGGTCTTGCAAAGTAAGGAAATGCTACTATTTAGTATCACCAAATAAGATAGAATAAAATGAATTGAGGTAATATTAGTTATTAAATTAAAAAAAATAGAACTTTGCTTTCCTTTTTTTTCTTGTTTGCATGGCAGTAGACAACAGTGAAATATTTTTCCAAAGCAAACACACACTAAGTTTTAAAGGTTTCATTTTAGAAGCAAATCAAATAAATATAAGCACTATTCTTGGTAACAAGAATCCAGCATCTTAGCACTAATGTTGCTATTGGAGAAAAGAAGCATCCGCAGTAATTGGGCCCTATGGGTTTCTACTTGCAGCAGTACAAAGAGAGAAAATGAAGCAGCTGGTGCCTGTGGCCAGCGTAACCTGCTCAACAAGCCTTATGTGTGGTTTACAGTGGAAGGAAGAAAGCAAGCCAAATGCCAGCAAGGGCCCAGATAGAGAAATACAGTCTTGGGGGTGAGCAAGCCATAGTCCCAATTGCCAAAGACTCCCTGAGCAAGAGAGAGTTTCTTTTTGAAGTATTGGAGTGAATTTCATGAGTTTAGATTGATTATTAAGTAGAAATTTTAAAGATGTATAAGCATTATTTTATTTAGTTTCCAGCTTCCTTGCATCATTTGAGAAATTTCTATTCAGGTAGGAAAATTCAGACACTTTTTCAATCTGTACTGGCAATAAAAATTTTCAATAGCTTCTGTCCTTTCTCTCCAGCAAACTGCAAAATGCCCTGACATCCATAGTGTTGTTATCAATTAATAAGTATTATCCTGCCTTTATAAATTAGACTATATTTTATTGTCTTTTTAATAAGCAGTTATGATTTTACATCCTGTCAAGCAATTTCAAAAATTATTCCAAAGCCAGTGGTGTATCCCTAAGCAAGACTAATTAAATAGAGCAAATATTCTGGACTAGTTCGTAGGGAATAGATCAGATGCGACCACACTATCATTTTACTCCTGATCTTGACTTCTAGCAACAACCTTTAGTAAGATTGAGTTTTTAAATATCAAGAAAGTAGCTAGTATCTAAACAAGATACTCAACCGGAATCCTTCTAGTAGAAATATGAGCTATATAGTCTTTCCTCTAATTGCTACTTTCTCAACACTTAAGAATTATAACAAACAGAACACCCATTGCTTCGCACTGCCCAGCAAGTTAAGTTTGGAAGAGTACCAAAAGGCTGACTGATGACAGCTTCTTAGCAGAAGCTGGGGGCAGTTTTCATTCTGATAGTACTTTCACAATCTACAGTTCCAGATGAATTAGCCACATGTTTGTGCCTACAAAGAGGAGACTACAACACACACACACACACACACACACATATACAGACACACACACATACACATATTTGTATTTGAATTACTTTTTGTTGTTTTCATAAATTGTTATTTTAAAGAAATCAGAGGGTAATACTTTTTGTTATAAATACAGACCAAGTGTTACAGTATCTTTCATAATTTAAAAAGCACTGTTAATTCCAAATATTATGATAGAATCTATGGAATCCATAATACATTTCATTTTAGTCATATAACAACTAATTGTTTATTTTTTGTGTACCTTTGTAGATATTAATTTGTATTCAGGTGCTATGAATGGCAAAAGTATATTTTCCATATATTCTAAATTAGAACATGATTTTGGTATTTTTTAGTATTTTCTCATTCTTATGTCTCTTACTTTGGAAATATTTTCCATGCAGTGTGGTCCCTACTACTCTTTCTCTGGATACTTTTGTTTTTGTAAAAATTCAAAAAGTTGTATAATTGGGATCATAGTCATAATATTTCTGGTATGGAGAGATTGCTTTGTATAAAACACACAGCAATTTTATTAACTGGTGTGAGAATATGGTTATTTTAAAGCTATTTTTAAGGTACAATTTATAATTTTACATCATCCAACTTCAAATTCACTTTGCTGTTATTTTCCCTGGAGAAAATTTACCAAAATAATGTGTCAAAAAGCTTTTAAACCATAGGTGATAGTTGCATAGATTTTCATTATACTATTTCTTTCTACTTTTGTATATGCTTACAAATTAACTTTTAAATTTAGAAAAACATAGTTTATGAAAACTTGCATTTAGTTGTAAAGTAATAATCACATTTGTTATTGATTTTATATATTAAAAACTTACATTTTATTATTTCAGAGAACAACATTTGTGAAATGTCATATTAAGGGAATGAAAACCAAAAACCACATGATCAGATGGGTGCGGTAGCTCACACCTGTAATCCTAGCACTTTGGGAGGCTAAGACAAGAGGATCACTTGAGCTCAGGAGTTCAAGACAAGCTGGGGCAACATAGTGAGACCTCGTCTCTGCAAAAAAATTAGCCAGGCATGGTAGCATGTGCCTGTAGTCTCAGCAACTCAGGATGCTGAGGTGGGAGGATTACTTGAGCTTGGGAGGTCAAGGCTGAACTGTGATCATGCTAGTGCACTCTAGCCTAGGCAACAGAGTGAAGCCCTGTCTCAAAAAATTAAAAAAAAAATTAAAAAAAAAAAAGAGAGAGAGAGAGAAAACAAAAAACACGTGATTATCTCAACTGATGCAGAAAAAGAGTTTGACAAAGTTTAGCATCATTTCTTGATAGAAACTCTTTTAGCAGTTTAGAGAAAGAAAAGTCCTCAACATAATAAAAGCTATTTATGAAAAACCCACAGCTAACATCATAATTAATAGGGAACAACTGAAGGCTTTTCTACTAAGATCCAGTAAAAGGTAAGGATACCCACTCTCACCACTTCTCTTCAACATAGTACTGCAAGTACACACCACTTCTCTTCAACATAGTACTGGAAGTACTGGCAAGAGCAATCAGACAAGAAAAAGAAATAAAAGGCTTCCAAATTGGAAAAGAAGAAGTAAAATTATTTCTGTTTGCAGATGACATGATCCTATATGTAGAAAACCCCAAAGGTTCCAAAAATAGTGTTAGAACTGATAAATTAATTCAGTAAAGTTGCAGGATACAAAACCAACATACAAAAATCAGTAGCATTTTATACACAAATAATAACCTAGCTGAAAAAGAAATCAAGAAAACAATGTCATTTGTGATAGCATCAAAAAATATACTGGAATAAATCTAACCAAAGAGGTGAAAAATTTGTATACTGAAAACTATAAAATCTTGATGAGGGAAATTGAAAAAGACACAAATAAATGGAATATATAAATAAATGGAAAGATATCCTGTGAATGGAATTAATATTGTTAAAATGGCCATACTACCCAAAGCAATATACAAATTCAACATAATTCCTATCAAAATTCTAATGGCATTCTTCACAGAAATAGAAAAAACAATCTGTATTGAAAGGAAAAATAAAGTTGAAGGCATCACACTTCCTGATTTCAAATGATATTACAAAGCTGCAGTAATCAAAACAGTATGGTACTGGCATAAAAACACAAATATAGACTGATGGAACATAAAAGAGAGCCAAGAAATAAATCCAAACATATAGGGTCAACTAATTTTCTATAAGGGCACTAAGAGGACACAATAGGGAAAGGATAGTCTTCAATAATGATGCTGGGAAAAATGGATTCCCAAATGCAAAAGAGTGAAATCGGACCCTGATCTTACACCATACACAAAAATCAATTCAAAGTGGATAAGATACCTTAATGTAAGGCCTGAAACTAAAATTCCTAGAAGAGAACATAGGGTAAAAGCTCCTTGATATTAGCCTTGGAAATGATTTTTTTGAATATCACACTAAAAACTCAGACTATAAAACCAAAAATAAATAAATAGGACTACATCAAACTAAAAGGCCTCTGCAGTGAAAAAACAACAAGAACAAATGAAAAGACAACGTACAGATTGGGAAAAAAATATTTGCAAACTGTCTGATAAAGGGTTACTATTAAAAAGTTACAAATAATTCTAATAACTCAATAGCAGAAAAATGATTAACTTGATTAAAAAATGGGCAAAGGACCTTAGCAGATATTTCTCCAAAGAATACATGAAAATGGCCAACAGGTACACGAAAAAGTGCTCAACATCATTAATCATCAGGAAAACGCAAATTAAAACCACTAGACAATATCACTTCATAACCTTTAGGATGGCTATAATCAAAAAGAACAGAAATAACAAATGTTGACAGAAGTGTGGAGAAAAGGGAACCTTAGTACGTTGCTGGTGGGAATGTACATTGGAATAGTCAATATGGGAAACAGAATGGAGGTTCCTAAAGAAATTAAAAATAGAACCACCATATGACCCAGGAATCTCTATTATGGGTATATACTCAAAAAAAATGAAATCATCACCTCATAAAGATATCTATACTCCCATATTCATTGAAGCATTATTCACAATAGTGAAGAGATGGAAACAACTTCAGTGTTCATTGATGTATCAATGGATACAGAGAATGTCATATAGATCTGTCTATAATATGGAATATTATTCAGCCTTGAAAAAGGAGATCCTGCCATTAGCCACAACATGGATAGACCTGAAGAACGTTAAGTGAAATAAGCTGAACACGTAAAGCAAAATATTACATGATCTCTCTTATGTATGGAATATTTTTTTAAATGTCTAATATATAGAGTTAGAGATAAAAGGATAAAACCGTGATTACTAGGGGCAAGAAACAAAAGGAGGAAATGTAGAGAAGTAGGTCAAAGAATTCAAAGTAGCAGATAGGTAGGATTAACAAGTCTACAGATTTAATGTACAATATGAGGGCTGTAATTTATAAAATTGTATTATATTTGGGACTTTTGTTAAATAAGTAGATATTAGCTGCTCTCATCACCAAAGAAATAATTATGTGAGATGATAGATATGTTAGTTCAATACAATAACCATTTTATGTATTCTATGACATCATGTTATAAACCTCAAATATACACAATAAAATTTATTTTTAAAAAACATGGTTTATGGTTTAAGAGAATATTGGTCATAAAATGTTAATGTATGTTACATTGTTAAATATACTATAATTAAAATTAACATAATTAGAAAAACATATTACCTAAAATGTATTAAATGTTAACATTTGTATTATTTGCTAAGTTTCTGTTGCGAATTAGGCCTACTCAAGGGGAAAGTCTCTTCCTTTGACGTCAATAACTGTTGGTATTTTTTATAATAGACAATTCTACCACTCATTATTTTAAATCTGACATTCCTCCTTAGGTTGAGTTTATTCCTAGATAATGCAGGCAACGGTGAATGAGTTATAGTCATTTAGCTCTGCTGTCAACTTTCTCAGTAATTAATGTGCTTAGTTTTATTTGAAAGATCATTTAGAAATGCTATTTCACGTTAAATGCCTTAGGGTTATGGTTTTTCTTTCTCACACAGATAGACACGACTTCCATACAAGCTCAGGTAAAGAAGAAAGACATTGTGGCCCCTATACAATTTCCCAAAATTTCCCTCTTATTCACAAATGACAAACAGACCATTCATGTTTGAAGGGCATAGTGGATACACAGTAGTTTTAATGAAGCATATAAGGAAATACGATGAACTGAAAATACAGGAAATTTCAAGAGTCCTATTATCTGCTTTATTTTCTATATTATTTTCTGATAATATTTTCTTAAGTCGATAAGCTGTTGTACTATTTCATTATTTTCATTTGTAAATATGCCAGTGGAAAAGGCAACGCCTATTTCTAAGTCTTTCTTAGAATTATTTTTCCTCCCTTTGTTTGATTCATCTGAACCTATCACATGTTTAACATGTGCATGAAAAACACATTTTGTAAATGCTTTTCAAAGCTGTCTGAAGAATGTTTCCATCTAGTCACATTATCGTGTTTCTTGTTTTCAACATGCAGGGTGTGCTCTGTGCAACTCCCCTCATTTTTATCATTCCATCAGCCTGTTATCTGAAACTGTCTGAAGAACCAAGGACACACTCCGATAAGATTATGTCTTATGTCATGCTTCCCATTGGTGCTGCGGTGATGGTTTTTGGATTCGTCATGGCTATTACAAATCCTCAAGACTGCACCCACGGGCAGGAAATGTTCTACTGCTTTCCTGACAATTTCTCGCTCACAAATACCTCAGAGTCTCATATTCAGCAGACAACACAACTTTCTATTTTAAATATTAGTATCTTTCAATGAGTTGACTGCTTAAAAAAAAATGTATGTTTTCATAGACTTTAAAATACATAACATTTACATGTTTTAGTCTGTATTTATATTATATAAAATTGTTATTTTGGCATTTTTCAAGACTTGGCTTTCATGACTCTTTAGTGCAATATCAAAGATAAAAGAAAAATTGAATGTATTTCACCTTTAACTGGAACAAAATAAGTGTTTTGTTCTAATGACTGCACTACACTAATGCTGATTGAAGAAGGGAGAGTGAAGCCTTTAGCATTTTCTGCCATCCCCCTTTTATTTAGTATGCAAACCAGTATATTGTGCTCCAAAATAAGTAGGCGATTGTGGGTTGGAATTTTGTGTAGATGTCTTTTGGTCGGGGCCGGGGGGCATTTTATTTGTCCTTAAAAATCTGTGGAACTGAAGAGAAGGGAAACCCACAACTATTGAAAAGAAGACATATCCCAAGAGCAAAGAGATCTCCATTATAATTTCAGCAGCATCCCTTATTTAAAGGGAAGTGGATCCCTGGAGAAATGAGCACAGACCTCTCCTTGTGAGGAAGCCTGAATCATAAACTGGCTGTGAGGAGCGAGGTGAGTGAAGAATCAGAATCACCTCCCATCTTCTGCTGCTGTGGGAATACAATGGTAGCACCATTCTAAAACAGGAAAAAAAAGCAGTTTTCTGTGGCAAGAACCTAAGAGACTGGTGATATGGACCTGTTGAATTTTCAGTGCTGTCAGGAATATACAACGGGAAGCTGAACTTTGAAACTAGAAACGTGTAAGAAGAATCAGGGCTACCGAAGAAGCTTTCTCAGTCCACTGGGGGTTCCTCAGAGAGATTTCTGGGAGCTCTTGTTGACTGGGTGTTTGGGAGCAGATAGTGAGATGGAGTTTATCATAACTAATGGGAGAGAGGGGAAAGCAGGAATGGTAGGGAGAGGTAGAACTGCAATGCAGGCTGACCTCAGCCAACTCCACAGGGAAGCTGGTGCGTACATGACCCATCAGAGTTGTCCCTGTTCGGGAGTAATAACCCGGTGTTGATATGGCTGCCTCCATCAGTCATTGAATGTGAGCATCTGGAGAAGGGTGAGTTCTTGGGCTAGGCAGCTTTTTGCAGCAGAGCAAACCCTAAAGGAACTGAGAGCTGGAGGTAGTCTACTGATAGCTTCGTCACCACATGCTTCCTTACAGGGGTATCTGGGACACACAGCTGTGCCCACCACAGATGCCTTCGGTTTACTGACGATTTTTAAATGATTTTTTAATTAGGATTTTGTGTCTTTGTATCTATGACAGTCTTTAAAAAGTAACATGAAAATTTGGGGCCATCTGGATGGCTTCCTTATATAGAGTATCACCTAAGATTTCCATTTCATTTGTATTCTAATCAGGTTGTCCATCTGTGGCACTATATTAATTGTTATCAAATAACAAGAAACTATCACAAGCAGAGTTAATACATATATGGATAAGTTTGTACAAATCAAATGCAAAAAAAAAAAACCTACAGGAAGTGTGTAAAGGGTAGGTTCATAGTAGTTTGAATAAAGTGGCAAGAGCTGAGTCACTGTGTGACTCATAGTGGGAAAGGCCTATTGAACACAAAGGAGGATGCATTTTAGCAGGTAGAACCATGCTCAGGGTTTTAGTGGTGATTTGTTTTTTCAATAAAATATTATCCTTGCCAGTAAATTAATTTAAATTCTGTTGAGTAACTTTTCTGTATTTAACTTACAAACTTGTTTTTTATACTTAAGGGTCATAGGCTAAGCAGTTTGTGCCTGGTTTTAGATTGGTACGTGTTTAGGTAAAATATAATAAAAATGCTTTCATTCCATGTAAGAAATGAGGAAATGTAAGCAAGTTTTGCCACAGTCTGTCCTTACATTGCTCAAGACTGAGAAACACTGACCTACATAGTTATTAAATAAAGTCATGAGGGATGAGATCTCTAAACATGTACAAAGAAAAGTATGTCAAGGATAACATAATTTAGCACGTAACCATCTCTTATCTTGTACTTCAGTGTTGCTTCATACTCTTCAAGTAGATGAAAGCTCCTGGTAGGAAGGGAGTGCATCATTAGTACCTAATAAATATGTATTGGTTTATTTGTTTTTAATCAGCTGTAGAACAAGACTGCTTATGACCCAGTTATTAGCTACATGGATTACCGACATCTTTCCAATTATAATTGAATAAATCTTAGGAACTCACATTTATTTGGCAAGAATACTTGTATGCTTATTTTGCCATCATGCATAACTACAAGAACCCCACCCTCCCAAACTATTTTCTGCGTCAGTTCAATAAGAGATTCCCCTGAAAATCTTTCCATCTCTGCCACTTGTTGCCCCTAACAAAGCAACTTGAAGGTTTTAAACCAGTTTTTGAAGCTGTCACTACACTTAAATGTATAAAGTGCTTCTTAACTTTAAAAAGGTGGTGGTAGGCAGGAACCATATCTTTACACACAAATGAGAACATCTAGCAATACACTTCCTTTAAGGGTATAAGTTGGATAGCATCTGTGTAATTTAGAAATTGAGTCATTGTTCGTTTATTATAGAGTCTTTATTATCAACACTAACTTGAACCATCTTCAAACATCAGAATGGGTAAACTGTCTATGACCATACCACCCTGAACACACCAGATCTCATCTGATCCTGGAAGCTGAGCATGGTCTGGCCTGGTTAATACTTGGATGGGAGAACAGGTAAACTGCCTTGCCTGGACTATTTCCAATGATGCCAAACAATAATTGTTGCCTCTTGTCTGTCTTAAACGAAGACTGCATCCATTTTACCAAACTAAGAAGTTTACAGTTAGTCCTCTGCTGAAGTCATACTATACACATCTACTTAATTAAAGATACATTTATTGAACAGAACAGGTCTCCTCCTGGTTTATGTGCTGTAGCCTTGCTTAGGAAAGGAATTATACCCTGTCTTTTAATTAGGGGTGGCTATTGACTGGAGCAAATGTTGTCAGGTTGTCCAAGAGTGGCCCAAGCATGAATCAATGAGTGACCATGAGTGAACTCATCAGTGAGGGTCACTCATCAGTGAGGGTCACTCATCAGTGATGAGTGATGGTCACTCATCAGTGAGGGTACCCATGAATGCTTTACTAACTGTGGCAAGGATTGCTACCTCAATAGAATCAGTGCTCTTAAGAATTTATGCTCATTCTAAAAAATGTGTACAGAATTTGCCATGATAGCAGAGCAAGTATGTAGAGTGGACCAGAGATGCTGTGAGCTAGAGAACACATAGACCTGGAGAGAAAGAAAAGAGCCCAGTCTTTGTCTAGAGTAGTGGCTTTTAAACTTGGACATGTGTCGGAATCACCCAGAGGCCTTGTTGAAACACAGATTGCTGGGCTTCACCCCCACAGTTTTTGATTCAGTACTTGGAGTGGGGCCTCAGAATTTGTATTTCTGAAAAGTTTCCAGGTGATGCTGCTGCTTCTGCTGGCTCAGGGATCACGTTTGAAAAAGGTTGGAAGTTGGACATAAGAAAGTGCTAGATGGAGCCATTTATTTAGAGGCTGGGACACAATACAAGCAAGATGTAGGAATACCATGCTAGATCTCAGGGAAGAAAATGAGACTGGAGATGTAGGAGGGAGAGCAACTGGTACATATTAAATGTGTTACACTTTGCCTCTTTGAAAAATCATTTAGAGACACAGTGAGAAGAGGAGAAACCAAGACAATAATATTAGTGAAGAGCAATGACAAAGGACATGGGAGGAGAATGAACACGGGAGAAAATAGAGATTACAACCCAAAATCAACACAGCTATGCTGGTTAAGCTACAGGCCTGGTTCTGAGCCTGCCAGCACTCAGGGAAGGTTGTCTGAGCTTTATGGCTACCATTGTGAGAAGGAAGAAAATATATCAGTTTCTCAAAAGAACATCAAGTTTTCCAAGGACTAAACTCTCAGCAGAATGGCTTACTTGGAAAATTACATAGGGAACATGAGTAAAACTGGGTTATGAACAATAACATCATTCAGATAAAAAATTTATGTGGTTGTCTTTTATAAGACACTTTTTCATTCCATTAATGTTTGCTCATTGATAATAAAGATTATCAATACATTTAGCTTTGGCATTTTTATGATAGTATTCACGTATGATAATATGTAAATGCTCCATTAAAACAAAAACAAACAAAAAATCAGATTTATTCTGTTCTTCATTTCTAACTCTCACTTGATTCTGGTCCTTACCAAATGATATGATTTGGCTGTGTCCCCACCCAAATCTCATCTTGAACTGTAGCTTCCATAATTGCCGTGTGTTGTGGGAGGGACCCAGTGGGAGATAATTGAATCATGGGGGCAGATTCCCCCATACTGCTCTCATGGTAGTGAATAAGACTGACAAGAGCTGATGGTTTTATCAGGGGTTTCTGCTTTCACTTGGCTCTCATTCTTCTCTCTTGTCTGCCACCATGTAAGACATGCCTTTCACCTTCTGCCATGATTGTGAGGCCTCCCCAGCCACATAGAACCATAATATGAGTCCATTAAACCTCTTTTTCTTTATAAATTAGCCAATCTCAGGTGTGTATTACCAACAGCATGAAAATGGACTAATATACTAACTCACACACTAACTAATGCTATGGCCACTTACCTGAGCATACTGCCTTCAGACTCCTCCTGCCAAGATAATTTATGTATCACTTCAAGAATCTTCTTATTAAACAAATACTTTGATAACTAATGCTTTCTGACCACTTGCTTGCTCAAAAGCTTTCCATGAAACTCTTTTGCTTGTAGAATGATGTACTAACTCCACAGTCTCTACTCAAATCTTTCCTAATATGTCCTCAACATGCTATTTTTGTCTTATCACTCATGACTGCAGGAAGGAACAATTTATTCTAACATAACTAAAACATTTCTTTACCCTAAAAATGTTCTGTACACCTTTAACTTTTACCCCTGAATTCTTATCATTCTTTCATCTGAAATGTCCAATACCCCCATCAAAATTCTATCAATACTCCTGTCTTCCCCATGTGCCATTCCTGACAACTCTTACTGCAAAATAGTTCTTCCTCCTCTGAAATTCTTATAGTAGTGTTATACGAA